CTGTAGTTTCATGATCCCTTTGCCCAAGGTGTCCTCCAACAGTTACATCACCCAATAGTTGGCAAAAAACAGGTCCAGCGGGGCACCTTCCTTAATTGGTTCCCTCATCAGCTGTTTTAGGAATTTATCTTGCACACACTCCAAAAGCCTCCTAGACTGCTTCCCCTCTGCTGTATTATATTCCCAGCAGATATCCCATAAGCTGAAGTCCCACCTGAGAACAACAGCTAGCAATATTGAGACTGTTCTATGGCTCTGTGTTCTGTGACTCCCTAAGATCAGATCAACAACCATGCTGGACAAAGCAGGAAGAGCAACTGGCACTGAAAAACCAGTGCAAATTATTTTGTTCGGTTTTGTTGTTAGGTTAGCAGAGATTTGCAAAAATCAGATGTACTAGTTTTAAAATCTTGAAGGACATGCCTCAGATGAAACTGCATGCATTCAATTAACTTGTTTCCAATGCAAAATCTGTTTTGACAATTTTTTTCCCTGATTCTTCTATATACTGGGTAGTTTTATTAATCAAATAATATTGCACATTCTAATAGAAAAATCAATTCCATTAAAATGCAATTTACAGAGATGAGGAAAAAATGTATCTATAAATAAAAATGCAACATCCACCAATTAACAGAGAACATAATGGATAACTGAAATAAATTTACAATAAATCAAGAAAAGACCTTAAAAAACCCATAAAAAAATTATTTGCAGAAAAATTCCAACAGAGAGACTCAAAGCTTCTGACACTGCTCATAACTACAAGAAATTAAAGAAATAGAAAGGAAATGAGCTGGAAGCATGCCATATGATGCTACCCTGAACTTATCACCCACTGTTAGTATCTCTACAGGCCAAGGAAGGCTAGGGATGTGAAAATCATAGTAATGTTGCTTAGCTAGAATCTCTGGAGCTTATCCAGGCTAACATCACACTTGAAGTAGGCCTACATGTAACAAAGTCAGGTCAGCCATGGTGCTGTTTGGTTAAACCTGTCACAGAAACCTTCAAGAATGGAGATGACAAACTCTCTCAGAGGAGATCTGCTCCAGCCCTGCGTTGCCCTTCTGCAGAGAACTCCCTTCCACTAGATTCCCATGTATTAAGACCACTGAGCTTCAGTCACATTAAACAAACAAGAAACTTTTAAGTTCGGATTATCTTCATTTACAACCAGACGTTTTCTGTACCAAAACCAGACACAACATAATGGCATTATTTAAATCACAAATGATATTTAGAAATACCCCTTAAATCCATTTAGTTGAGATTGTAATCCAACACATCATAAACCATCAGAAGTTTTAATTTTGTCAACCATGCAGAATAGTACACTCATTACAAAACATCTTTTTGATTTAAAACCTAACATCTTGCCTCTCTGCATATTGATTTTCCCCCAGTACAAGTCACTCTCCCTTCCTCAGACTGTCTGCATGGGTAATAAGGCAGAAGGGCAGACATGAAATTACTTACAGTCTACTAAATTCTCTCTCCCTGATGTTAAAACCTGGCCTATACATCTGGGCCTCTAAACACTCTGTGATATTTACTTCAGGACTCTGGAGATGCTCCTGTGTTATTCTGAAGATTGACAGTGGTGACCTCAGTTACTCTAAGACATGAATGCTATTCTTCAAAGTTACTGGTCAAGTTCTTCCAGGTGGTAGAAGAAAATCCAGCAATATTAGATGACATATAGAATATATTTGCCAGGAAAGTCATAAACAAAAAATAGTGAATTTTCCACCACAATCTGTATGTACACCTGTCTGGTTTGTCTGGGATAGAGATAATTTTCTTCCTGGTAGCTGGCACAGTGCTGCCGTTTGGATTTAGGATGAGAGTGATGTTGATAACACACTGATGTCTCAGCTGTTGGTAAGCAGGGTTTACACTAAGTCAAGAAATTTTTAGCTTCTCACACCAACCCACCAGCAAGTAGGCAGGGGCACAAGAACCTGCGAGGAAATACAGCCAGGATGATCCACTGGCCCAAAAGATATTTCATACAATATGGTATCATGCTCAGTATATGAACTAGGGAGAAAGCTGGCTGGGGGCTGATGCTTGAGAACTGGCTGGGCATTGGTTGGCAGATGGTGAGCAACTGTATGTGCATCACTTGTTTTGTATATTCTGATTCTATTATTATTATTATCCATCAATTTTTTTGTCCTATTAAATGTCTTCAACTCAACCCACAAATTTTACTTTCCCTCCCCCTCCCCCCCCATTCTCTTCTCCATCCCACTGGGGAGCGGGGAGTGAGCGAGCAGCTGTGTGGTGTTTAGCTGCCAGCCAGGTTAAACCAGGGCAACAAAATTAGGAGAAAAAGCACAGTAAGCAAATAAGGAGACAATAAACAGCTGGTCATACTCCAGACGTATGCTTACAAATATGCACTGTTTGCAATAACAAAGTATTCTGACATTCTCTAACCGAAATCACAAATCAATAATATTAATCTTTAATACTTCCTACTTTGTTACAAGTTGGTTCTTTACGAAGTCCTTAGGTTAACTCCAGTGTATTGCCATATCACGTTACAGCAGCCCTGAGGACATGGCAGGACTGCTTATGTTGGCATAGAAGAAGCTAATGGGGCGTCTATTTTACCTGTGGGCGTGGTATAAACACCCAGGCAGAAGTGTTGTTGTCATCCCAGCACATCTCTAAACATAACAGCTGCTGATCATTTCTTGCTAGAAAATGCTATTGCTTTTAGTGCTCACAAATGTGTATACACCTCAAGATTTAATATGGTTGCTGATTTTACAGTGTCTGAGGACAGACCCATCAAAAACGGAGATCTTTAGAAAGAGACAACTTGCAGTTTGATATGGTGTCAAAAATCAGACATGCAAGGTAAACATATATCTTAGTTTTCTATCCTTTAAAATTTGCCAGTGAACCAGGTACATACTTCATTTTTTGGGGGATCTGAGGTAGGGGCCTGGGCTCTTAGTATGGTTTATAGGCAAGAGATAACAACAACTTCCCCTGTGCTCCAGCAGCAAGGGGCTGAGCAGAGGGAGGAGTCCATATACGGTCTGTGAGGCTAGTGCCACCAGTTACTGGTACAACCAGTGAGGTGGTGCTGGCTTGCTTCCACTGACTGCTGCAGATTCAGCTTCCTCACTGCTCACCCTCCAGCACAAACCCATTGCAGAAAGCGTGCCATGGCCCAAACAAGAGCTTCACCAACTGCACATCTCATGGGCCTCAAGCCACCTTCATACAATCCTTTCTTTGTTAGCCAGAACCAGGGCAACCTGGGATACTCAGGACAGTGAAAAGCAGAAGGCGGCCTTGATAGCAAGGGAACATGATTGAACTGCTGTGTGGAGTTGGCAATGAAGGTTTATCAGCGCTAGTTCAATTTCAGCCCCACAGTCTTTCTTCTCATGAGGTTTGTGGAATACTTGTGCCTTGAAGAGCACACAATGCACCATGGTTATGCAAGTTCAGAGGCTGTTGTTCCCAATTCCTCCCAGCTGGAGATGATTCACTGCAAAAGTAGCTCACATGTCTCTGCCTGTGGTCCAGTTAAGTGGAAAAGTGAATAAACTACCAGTGGACAACGCAATTTTGCAGTGCTGGTGGGTAGCACCCCCCGAACACACAGCAGATTATCTAACATTCACCAGGCTTATGCCTAACCTTTGCCAAAAAACAGTGCGTGTCTTTCACTGATAACCAGAGAAGGCAGGCAGGCAGGCAGTGTAGCATCCTGTGCGGCAGGATGAGTGAACCCTGCTCCCCTTGCACACAGCACCCTGAGCCTGGACAAAGCACATGGTGGTAGGGTTTGGCTGTAACCTGGCTCCAGCTCTTCCCTTCCAGAAGAGACACAGCAGCCAGACTAGACACGAACTTTGTCAAATTCACAGATTATTTAGGGTTGGAAGGGACCTCTGGAGATCACCTAGTCCAACCCCACTGCCAAGGAAGGGTCACCTAGAGCAGATTACACAGGAACATGCCCAAGTGGATTAGGAATGTGTCCAGAGAGAGAGACCTCTCTGGGCAGCCTGTTCCAGTGCTCTGCCACCTTCAATGTAAAGAAGCTCTTCCTCATATTGAGGTAGAACTTCATGTGTTTTAGTTCATGGCTATTACTCCTCATTCTGTCTCTGGGCACCACCAAAAAGAGCCTGGCACCATCCTCCTGACACCTCCCTTTGAGGTATTTAGACGCATTGATGAGATCCCCTCTCATTCTTCTCTTCTCCAGACTAAACAGGCCCAGCTCCCTCAGTCTCTCCTCATCAGAGAGATGCTCCAGACCCCTAAACATCTTTGCGGCCCTTTGCTGGACCCAGTAGGTCCTTGTTGTTTTTGTACTGAGGAGCCCAGAACTGGAGGCAGTACTCCAGGTCGGGACAGTCTCTGTCCTGTCCTTTCCTCTTACAGCAGGCATGGCCCATACCCTGGTGCTTTCGAGGCAGCCCTGGGTCTGGCAAAGGGACCAGGGGCTGCCCATTCCGTGCGCTCCAAGCCGGGCCCAGGACGGTGCACGTCCCGCTTTCTCTCCCGCCTCCAGGGCAGGCTCGTCTCCCCCGGAGGCTCCCCGGGTTCCGCACTGCCACGCGCCCGCGGCCCTGCCCCAAGCACCGCCGGGATCCCCACGCCTCGGCAAAGAGACCCGGTGCCACCGCCCCCCCCCGGAGCCCTTCCCCGCACCTGTAGTTGTAGCCGCTGAAGCGCTGGCTCTCCCGCAGCAGGGCGCGGTACAGCCGCAGCACCTGGACACGGCTGGACGCTGCCATGTTGTCGGCACCGGGGCGGCTCCTCCCGCCACGGCGGGGCCCCTTTTCCCCGCCCTCTCGCCTCCCGCGCCGGGCGGGCGCAGCCGCGGCGGGAGCGGGGCCGCAGGGCCGGCGGTGAGTGAGTGGCAGCTCGGCCCAGGCCCGGCGCAAGGCCCGGGCGGGGCGGGGAGAGGAGAAGGCAAGGCGCGTCCCCGGGCGGGGCAGCCCCCGGGGCGGCGGGCTCGGGGGGCCCGAGGGGGCCGGGTCCTGCAGTGTCGGGCCTGCCCGGCACCTCCGGCGGGGGGCACAGGGCGCGACCTGCCCCGAGGCTCCTGTCGGGCTCGGCCGTGCCCCTGTGAAAGGCCCGAGAAGGGGAGGGAGGCCCGAGCTGCAGGGAAAGCGAAAGCAGCGCTCAGAGACGCTGGTCGGTGACAGCAGCGTGGCGGTGCCCACCCCGCACTTGTTGGTGTGTCACACGCGGTGGGATGTGGTCCGGGGCTGGAAGCTAGCAACAAGTGATGTGTGCCAGGGGATTGCATCGAAATCGCTGTAGACATTTGCAGTCAATGTTCCTGTACTGGAGAGGGTCTAGTGGAGGGCCACAAAGATGATGAGGGGTCTCGATCATCTCTCTTATGAGGAGAGACTGCAGAAGCGGTGCCTGTTTAGTCTGGAGAAGACTGAGAGGGGATCTCATCAATGCATCTAAATATCTCAAAGGCGGGTGCCAAGAGGAGGGTGCCAGGCTCTTTTCAGTGGTGCCCAGAGACAGGACAAGGAGCAGTGGATATAAACTCAAGAAGTTCCACCTCAGCATGAAGAAGAGCTTTACACTGAGGGTAGCACAGCACTGGAACAGGCTGCCCGGGGAGGTTGTGGAGTCTCCCTGTCTGGAGATATTCCAAACCCTCCTGGACACCTCCCTCCCATGTAACCTGCTCTAGGTGACTCTGCGTTGGCGGAGGGGCTGGGCTAGGAGATCTCCAGATGTCCCTTCCAACCCTATGATACTGTGATACTGTGAAATCACTGCAGACATTTGCAGTCAGTGTTCATCAGTGCCAGTGTACTAGACTCAAGTGTGTTACTGTGTCATGTGAGTTGTTCTTCTCTCAATATCCCGTTTTAAAATGAATTCTCCTATTTAAACTACCTTGACCTGTATAGTTATAGTTCAATTGCTGTTTAAGCAGTGAGAGCCTCCGACAGAGGTTAGCAAGGATTTCCTGCCTCTTTTTATTTCAGTGCTTTCAATGCTTTTATTTCAATGGGAAATCTCTATTTCGTAACTCCTTTTCTTGCTTTTTTCACCGCCCTGAGAAATGACCACATGGGTTTTATCAGTGCCCTCCTCTAAGGTTCTCCATTTGTACAGGTTTTCAGAAAATGAATAACTGTGTTGAACTTTGGGTAAATTTAACACACAGGCCCCATGTGTGCTGAAACTGGCCTTGGAGAGGGTAGGACACAGTAAGGAATCAGTGTACAAGTGCCTCTGTATCTTACAGTCCACAGAACAACAGACCAAAGCCATTTAAAAAGTAGATTCTACCTGTTTATTTGCTAATTTTTGGTCTTTCCTCTCTGTTATGAGGGTGGGCCTCTTTTTCTGCTTAAGAACTTCTTTTACTGTTTATACCAGAGGCATCGTGATCCTTTTGTTGCTGGAAGCAGCACATATCTAGCATCCTCCTCTGCAGAAAGTTTTACCACTGCAGAATAACTTTGTACCTTGCAGGTATATTTAATACTGATATTTTAATGTATTAATAATACAATTTATTTATAATCATGACAGAGTTCCTACTTTCTCCACAGTATGCTCTTTTATATAGTAAATGTATAAATATCTATCATGTAGATATTCTACATGTCTCTGGCAGAAGTGTTTCAATTGCTGCTGCTAATTAAACTCGTTTTATTGTATATGCACTTTGGGTGTTATTATTTGTGTCAGTTGTGCATCTAATACAATTTACAGTTTGTTGCAAAGAACTAAAATAGTTCTGTGCTTCTGAGTGTAAATAGAGACACACATGGAATTATGTCAAATTCATCTCTACAGGTATATTATGTTTTAGCAGCCCATTTAGGCTTCTGGAGATGGAGGTTTTTCCATACATAGAAAATGTCTTGGATATTCTCTTTATCAAAGCCCAGACTAGAAATGTTAAGAGGAAATGTTGCATTTTTCTAGAAAAATGTAAGCAACTACAACGCTGGGATAAGCAAAACTTAGGTTTGAGAGTTTAACAAAGTTATGTGACATCATTCTGTGGATGAGTGTGGCAGTTGTTCCATGGAATTTTGCAAGAACCTTCAGTTATTGTTGGAAATAAAGTTTTCTTGTTACGATCTTCAGCTCTAAAAGATGAGAGAGTCATTAGGATGAAAGCATTAAACAAATTTTGTTTACATGAACGGTATTGATTTAATAGTTTAAAAGCAATTATAAATTATTTTGAAATAGCCTCTGATGCTAATCCTGTTCCTGAATCTCCCTGACAGTTTCTGTAAGTTTCATTTTTTTAATTTTTTTTTTTTAGGTAACCATATTTTTCTCTTAACGAAGCCTGGAAACCCCATGTGTTTAGAATAAGCAATAAGATCAGGCAATGCATTATCAAATTCAAAGTAAACCTCTCAAAGGAGAGAAGTCTTTCCTCTTGTCTCCTTTACAAAGTGTAACCTATAATACACTCAAGGAGGGAAGAACAATTTTTAGCAGAAATTTGTAATCTTTGTGCAGTTGGATTGACACTTTTATCTGGAAAAATTAATATTTTCTTATGTATTTTATTATTGCATTTCCTTGGAAGCAGTGGATTATGGTCTCAGAAGCAATGAATTATGGTCTCAGAAGTCCTGTCATTCTGCAGGAAGTGGACATTGCCTTTGCTGTGACTGGAGTACACATGTTTCTGCTGGCCTTTGTATATGTGCATCACTGCAAGCCTGCAGAGAATTTGAAGGACAGACAGAGCTCAAATGACCGTGTTTGTGTCCTGTGCCTATGTATGGGGAAGCACTAATAACCACTTAATTAACTACCTCCTCATTCCTAGGGGAAAACCACACCTGAATTTAATGCAGTCATCAAGCCAGAACCAGTCAGTACATGGCTGGATTCTCCCCCCTCCCCCCCCACCCTCAAACCTCTCTTGTTTAAAATTTAGTGCTGATTAATTATTATATTTTATGGAGATATTTTTCGTACTTGCAGTGATACATATAGTTATTGTCTAAAGGAGTTTGTGGGTGTTCATTTGAGCAGAAGTCTTTGCCTCCACCATTTGGTCTGAGGAAGGAAGGTGGCATGTGCCTTGCCTTTCTGCATCTCTTGGGATAAATAAGCACTTTGAGAAGGACAAAATAGTATCCGTACCTGGAATATTTACTAATATTCTAAGTATGTAGCTGCTAAAAGTAAAGGAGGAATTTGAATTAAATACCTGCAGAGACTGTGGACTGGTGTGAAAAGAAACAGCTGTTCTATTCTCTGGAGCATATTTGATGTCTTGTCGTATGTTGCCGAATAGTTCCTTGTAGTGCACTATTTCAGCTTTATGACATGGCACTGAACACTTTCAGAGAGCATGTGTTTTCCTGGTACACTGCTGTTGGTTTTTGTTATTTTTCTTTGGGGGTCAGAATGATAATTGGTTGTTGTGATATTATCATCATCTCTTTTAATTATTGTTTTTCAGTTTATGACAACATTGCTAACTTTACCCTGCTGCTGTGGTATGATGTCTCTCTTCTTCTCTGCTCTTAGTTCCTGATTGACAGTGTTGTGTACAGGGAGGTCCTATACAGCAGAGTAGGACCCTTAAAAGAAGGATTGTAAATCACAAGAATTTCAGGATTTCAGTGACAAGTGTAACAAGCTATAATTTAACCATTCCCTATGGTGAATAAGGGAGCCTTGACTCACTCTGCTATTAAAATATTTATATTTAATTGGTTGCCCTAAAGAAAGGAATATTTTTATTCAGGAGGAGAAACTTCCATGTTTCAAATTCAACTGTACTCCTGAATTCTTCGTGCATTTTGAAAAATTTTGCCTAGAAGTTCAAAGGGAAGGAAAAACCATGACAAAACTCTTATCTCAATTTTTGTGAGTTTTTGCATCTCCTTCCAACTGAATTGCAGAATGTTGTGTATTTTTTAAAGTAAGATTGTAAGAATAGTAATAATATGAAAACCAAATTCCAACCAGTAGTGCATTTTCTGTTGTAATACTTGGTCTTCTAAGGGAATACCTGTTTTACCACTGATCCTAAACCTTTACTGGTTCATGATCTCTTGTGCTACAGGCACTGAACTGAAAGAAACACCAAATTTTGTTTTCCTTGTTGGCCACAGTTTTAACTTTCTAATTTCTTGTGGCAGTGTGCAACAGCAGAGGACTTCATGGGCATTGTGTTGGCTGATAATTAAGCAGCTGATATGAAGCAGCTGGACAGTTTAGCAATCCCAGAATAACTTCTGGATTGGTGATATACATTGTTGATATATGCCATATTGATTTTAAAAGATGTTGTTAGTGGACATATGTTGGTAAAGTACTTTGAAATGCTTGAAATAAAAATGCTATGAAACTCCAGAATTAAAAGGATAATTTTATGTAACAGTAATAGGCAAGAGAATAAATAATAGAGGATTAAAATTACCAATAGTGCTTAAATAGTTCAGCGTGTAACAGTTGCATCAAATGTGAATGACACTTCGAACCTTAATGCTGATGAAAGCCAAGGTATTGTTTATAATGAAAACCCCATAAGAAATTAACATATTTTTGCTATGTGGTTGTTTGTTATACTGCAATCTCACTCAGAAATCTAATCATGAGAAGCATAAAGGATAGAATTAATTAGATGTTCCCATCTATGGCCTCATCAATTCAGAAATGTTTTCTTTGCTGTGCTTTCCAGTGTTTTATCAAATTTAGCCTTAAATAACTTCCCTTTCTGTGGGAAAATATATTCTACTTTATATGGTATTGCTGTTCAGAAATGTTTTCTGATGCTCAGCCTATGCCACCCTCTTCCCTGAGTTCATCCCACTTTTTATTTTATGCCCCTTAGAGTCAGGCTGTTTAATTCCTCTCCCTCCTCTGTGATTTACACTATTGTCATATTTCTCAAGAGCTGTCATCCAACCAGGCCACCTTATTTAGTTATTTTGGTATTTTTTCTGCCCTCTTTTAGAGGATGTTGAAATTTTTAACTTAGGAAGCATATTTAGCTGTAAAACAAGGACTGATATTTTGTTTAAGAGCAACTGAGAGTCTCTTTGTAGCCAGCCCTGTATCTTTTTTCTTGACTTGTGATTTCTGGTTTGGCAGGTTGGTTACAAACGGTACTGCCAATCACGATTGCATCCAAGGTATTTTGCTAGAGCAAAGTTCCTTCTTCTCTTGAGTTTATTTTTTGTCATATGTAAATGTGCATGTGAATATGCATAAAAATGTGTGTAAGTATACAAACATGCACCCAGTCACGTTGTGGTGGTAAAGGTTATGCCCTTCATCCCAGATTCTCCGTGGTTCAGCACTGGGGATTGGTGCACAGCTAGCACAGTACTGTGAGTTTTTTTTCTGATTACCCAGTCCCATGTCTCAGGTATATGAAATCAAAGACATCCTGCTGCTTGGGTGCATCCCAGTTCTTCTGCTCTGTGGATTATGGGCATGGGATTTCTTCTCAGGTGATACCAGGAGCTAGCTCTACTCAGGTCATGGACTATTGCTTAAGTCCTTCCCTGAAAATCCACTTCACTAACCATTTTCTTATAAATACTTCTTGTGTGATTATTTGCTAGAAGCAATTCCTGGATCAAAATATCAGTAGGTGTGGAAGTATCATGTGGCTATAAAGTAGTGTGGAGCTGATATAAGAAAACATGTTATCCAAGGTAAGGTAGAAGGAGAAAGTTCTTGTATAATGTGTTGAAAAGGTGCTGTTGGGGAAAGATATGACCTCTGATAACGGGACATGTGGAAGAAACTAATATTTTTAATTTTTTTAGGGAAAGAAAAATTAAGCAAAATTTTGCTTTACAATGGATGTGTAAATCCTCAAGGATTAAGGGTATTGTAAGCAGGCTATCCATTTAGTTTTCTGACTGTGGGACATGGGGAGGGGGAATGATTTTCCACTTGTAACACATTTTCATTTTATATGATGCTGTGCATCCATATGACTTTTTTTCTGGTAACTTGGACTTTTAGTCCAGCTAAAAAACCAACACTTTGAATAGGAAGCTGAAACAAATTTTTTCTATGGAGGAAAGAAAACTATGGAGCAATGTTTTAGTTGAAAAGAGGAAAACAATGTAGCCATATTAGGAATTGTAGTAATGGCAGAGTTTAAAATACTTACTTTTGCATGATCTTTGACATTTTTATCTTTCATCTTGTGTCACTATCAGTTTTATGTCCTCAGAGCTCTGGCCACGTGTGACAGTGCATTAGGGACATATTCCTATATATATCACGCTTCTGATGCATTTGTAAGATTAGCTGAATTGTCAATATTTCCTTACATGCCTTCACACTTCTAGATAGAACTTCCTTTTTATTTTATTTCTGGTTCTGGTTTTTATGTCTGGGGTGACTGTGTCAAAATTTTTCTTTCAGGCAGTCCCTGAAGAGAAGAAACAAAGCACTGACTAAAGCTAACAGAGCTGAGGAAAGATTATCTGTGCTTGCAGGTAAATAATTAAAAATAAATTTAGCTTTCTGAATCTCTTTGCCACAAACAGTGCCAGCCTTTTTAGTTAGTAACAAGTTTTCAGTCCATCTCCATTTTAATTAATAATTGAATTTTAATTTATTTAATAATTAAAAATATTTCTTCATCTTCACCAGCTGCTAAAGACAGGTATGCTGGCTATCTAAAGTTGCTTTCCATATAGAATTGATGCATTTCTTTAGTCCTAATACAAAAACAAAGAAACTTTTGAGGCTTGAGACATAAAGAGAGGTAGATAACAATAATAACAATAGATAGATAAATAGGTAGAGAATGATAATCTTCCAAAGAAGAAATTCAGAAGGACAAATTCTATCATCCTTATATCAGATATTTCCATATCTTTGAATATAATCCCTTTGAAATCTGCCGAACCACCTAGGCAATAAGTTACTGTTCAGCATGTGAAGAGGTGGCAAAATTAGGTTCTCCTTACTTACAGACCAGTTATAGTTGATGCAGGTCAGAATTCAGCATAGGATACTCTGGTGAATGGTGAGGGAGCTCAGGGAGCTCTTGGGAGAGGCAATAGTTATGTTTTTACAGCCTTCCAGTCTGTTACATCCCCCATGGCAGAATAATTTAAAGGCAGTGTGTGTTTGTGTCTCTTCATAAAGTTTTGTGTGTTACCTCAAAATGAGAATGTGTGACAGTTTAGATGGGGATGCAGGCCTATGAATGGAGCTGTCAGCTGTCCAATAGGAATGGGTTTACATTCTACTGAAAGGTGGGAAAGGGGGAAGAAATAATTTAAAATACCAAATACTGTTCTGGGAATATTTTTGAGAGCCCAGGTCTCTGTCTGGAGACCTGAATTAAGTATCTCCCTGTTCTACTATTTTTGTGGTTAACTTTTTCAGGTATGCTCTGTAGCCTAGTGTTGGTTTTGCCCAGGATCAGATTGTGGGGTTTTTCTGTTTGTTTAGTTGTTTGGTTTTTGTTTTTGTTTTTGTTTTTTTTCCTGGCACTGTACATGCGTTGGCAGGGGCTTTTCATTGTTATTTAACTTTTTCCTTTTTTTGAAAATGATTCCTGGTGAAGTATGTGTGCTCCACCTAAAATGGAGAAAAACAGATAAACAGAGTAAATATTGGGTCTTCACAGAGATTTAATGGTGCTTCATTTAATTTTTTTTTGTGTGTGTATGATTTCAGAATTGGTTTCACTTTGAAGAAACCGTTCAAGACCTTTGTTAAGAGTATTCTTACTTTTGAGACTATTAACATAACTTTTTTCATTACTTTCTTATCTATTTTAGATTTTAATGTAGCTTTTTTTCCCAACATTTATTTTAACTTTGATTTTATTATACTAATTACTCTCACTGTGAAAATTGCATAGTGCATTACACCAGCTCTTCCAGTGGGAAGATAATATTGTAAAATGGACAGATATGGTATTGTACATGTAAAATTAATAGATATTGAAGATGTAACTAAATGTTGACTCTATATAGGTTTGATGAACTTAGGAAATCTGCTTACTTTTTTTATGTTGGCACACTAACTTCATCAAGTTTTATGAAAGAATGTTGTTCTGAACGGACAGAGAGATTAAAGGTTAACTTTTTCTGTTTTCCCTTCTGTCCCTCTCCATCCATGCACAGATTGTGGTTCTTATTCCACCCCCCACTTTCACTCACAACATATCTTTTTCTAATAGTGCCATTTTTTCCCTGTTTTCTTGTGGTATGTTGTATTGTTAATATAGTATTCATTCTAAAAACAGAAACTCTGCCAGATAGATTTGAACTAAGTATGCGGTAACACCGTCTTTATTCTAGTAACTGTTGTTATTTAAATTATTCTTTTTAAGATAAACTTAATTTAAGAGATATTGCAGGTTCTACCAAATCCTATTTTCTCGCGTGATATTAGGAGTTCGTTTGACCCCAGTGTCCCCTGACTACTCTCACTCCAAACCCTGAGTGGCAGAGCCTGCTGGGCCTGTATGGAATATGATCTTTCAGCATGTGGCAAATTGCAATTCTACAGATGGTTTTAAAGAAAAAAATAATAACAATTATTATGTTTTAATTTTTATTCTCTCAGTTTGTAATGGATGTGGAGTTAAGTGAAGATTGTTTTATCATATGTGACCTTGAGCTATAATAGCATCTTATTCTTCATTAATAATAAAGATTTGATTCTTTCATGTTGTTATTTTCTCTTCTTCCCTGACTTGTATGGCTTCTTTCACCTGGTCAATGTGTGTATCTTGGCTTAAAATGCAAGATGAGGGGATGTTGCCTTTGTTATCTAAAGACTGGATGGAGAAACACTTCTGTGTGCAATAGTCTGAGATCTGTATCCCAAGCTCTGTCTTAGGTTTTCTTTCACTGAGGGTTGCTCTGGAGGGAAGTGCGACTTGCAGGTGTCTGGTGTCACAGAAAGGTTCTCTGGTATAAATAAAAGACATGGCTTTCTCAAGGCTTTTCAAACAAAGGTTTTCTTTTGTTCTTTGTGATGGGATTTGTGTGGTACATCGACATTATATGTCTAAGTATATCAATATTAGAAAGCCTAATAGGAGGTGTTACCCAGTAATATTAAAGATGTTAAAACATTAAGCTGCTTGGGAACCCATTAGCCTATGATGTTGTGAGTCATGAACTGAAATATATCCTATTTTCTAGCATTAATGGCAAAGAAAGAAGTTAGTGATACTAGTCTTGTTCTTTTTAGTGTAACACTCTCAAACTTTTTTTTTTTTAATCTGGTGGTAGCAGGACTGGATGGAGACACAATTTAAATCTATATTTTAAGTCATGCTTGCCTTGCTTTGCTTGCTACAGAATATTTTGGAACTAGTTTTTCTTTAACCAGTTATAGGAGATGTCAGCACCTCCTCAAGGTTATAAAGGCAGTTGTGTTCAGATGTAATCAAATAGAGTATTACAAGGTAGGTCTGCCTGAATACTTATGAATTAATCCTGGCTGTAAAATTTACCAGAACTGGAGAACAGTTGTATCAGGAAATTAGACCAGGATTAAGCAAATGCTTTTTGAAATTTGACTTGTATTTATTTGAATAGGCAGAACTTTAAATTGAACGTTTTTAATAATAAAATTTATCATCAATATTTATCAGCAACATTGTTTATAATTCAGTGTCAGTTGTTGCAGTTGAAGTATTTTTAAGGAAAAAGACTACTTTTTTTTATCCTTAGGCTTTAAACATAATTAATGCATTTATTTAGCTACAGTTGGAGAAACTGTTTCATAATATAAGTAGAATATTCACACATCAGGTTTTCTGTCTTTTGGTGACCCATATACATTCATAACTGTAGAATATGCAAAGTAAATTTTTTAAGCTTGGTAATGGAGGTTGCCTAGGTAGTTAATTCTTGCGTGTCTTCTTGTGTACACTTGTCCTTAAAAAAGCAAAGTTAAGTCTTTCATCTTGCAGCTCAGCAGACTAAGGAGGCAGCACACAGGCTTGAAATGTCATGTGGGATTTAGAAGAAGAAATGCAGTATCCATTCACTTGTGGTAAATTTTAGGGCTGGAATCAAGGAAATAACAGCAAAGTGTTTAAAAAATATGTAATTATAGTAAATAAGTTTACTAAAAAGAGCACAGAAAAGGAAACCAAACTGAAAATGTTTAGCAGTGCAATCTTACTTCATTTTTGTTTTACCTTCTGAAATTTGTATTGCTGTGAGACCAACTGTATTGAGACAGATACTGTGATTGTGTGAGACTTGCTGGCAGAGCTGTCTGTATTGTTTGCAAGTTTTGCTGTTCATGTAGGTCCAGCATTTTGTGTAGGTTAAATGGATTGGAATGAACTGTGTCATTTAGAAACTGATGTGGTGAGTTGTTTGTTTTTTTTTTTTCTTTTACAACATGCAAGTCAATACAACGCTCTGTGTAGGCTAGCTGCTTTTCCCTATACTTTTGTTTTATTTTTTTTCATGCTTTATTTTTCTTTGAAACCCATGTGATTGGGGATCGAATGTACAGAGTTCCTAGACAGATTTTTTTTGCTGTAACATAGTATATATTTGCAATTCTAGCCTCAGACTTTGGGTTAATAGGTCTTGAGAGATCAAGGGGTCTTCTGCTTCTAGACCCCATTAGCTGTAAGGGAACACAACAGCCTAAATCACTAGCAAAAAATGGAAGAATAAAAAAAACCTGGTTGTTGATTTCTGTTTCACTCAGTCAATAGGAAAGAACTCCAGAGATAGGCAATCATAAAAAAAAATAGAGTTTTTCGCATTATCTAAAAAAAAGTGTTGGAGTAAATAGAATTTACTTCTTTAGTAAAAGTTGAAGGTCCCATTTGCACATTTCAGAGATAGTCGGCTCTTATGGAGAGTGAGCTGACAGTAGTGTTTTAAAGGAGAAGAAAGACTCTTTTCTTCTTTCAAGAGCAGTAAATTTATAGGATTCACTTTTTACTCACAGCCTTTTAAACTATAATAATCCATGTTATCCTGCAGCTGTGCCTGTACTCAGTCAAGAGCTGAGTCTAGAACCATTTCTTACATGTCTGGACCCAGTAAAAAAGCCCTCCTAGTATTGTTTTTAATTGGATACCTGAAAGTGGCTCTACTGGCAAAGTGAAGGAGAAAGATAGTAGGGATTTCAGTCACCATTTTCTGACATCTGTCTCTTTATTCTCTGACAGGGGTTGAGTGAGAAGGAATCAAGCAGACTGGGGAATCATTTCACATTCCAATTTAGGATTTTAGGGCTCCATGTTTTTCCATTGCATGGGAGTAAAATCCTGCAACTCTGACTCTCTGGTCATGAAGGCATAGCTGTCCAGGGCTTCTGAGCAGCTACAGCAAAGGAGGCCTAAGGTGGGGTAATAAAAGCTGTAGTAATATCGTTTCCTTTCCATTGTTTTTAGTATGTTTCTCTAACATGAAGTAGAAGGAGGTGCTAAGAGCAGACCTCTTTGGTTATAT